ATATATATATATATATATATTTATTTTAATAGCTAAATGTCATATTCATAAATGTACATTTTTAGGGGAAAAACATGTTTTATAGTATTTAAAAATGAAGTAAAGCATTATATTGAGTCTATATTGCCCTCGATGAAACAAAAAGCTATTCGAATTTTGCACGCTTGCACATTCCTTAATGTATTCCTGTAATGTTTATGTCTAATAATGTCTCCCCCTAGCATTTGAAAAATGTTGTATTGTAATTGTATTGACTGTGTTGATATTCTGTTCTATCAAAAAAAATAAAAATCTAGTGCGGATGTAAATTTTAGTTATACATAAGAGCACAGCAGGACATTTACAATCTAGGGTCACAGAATTTCAGCTCTGCAGTGAAGTATTAGCCGGAGGACATGACCCATCTACGATCTGATGTTAAGCACAGTGGATTAATCGTGTCTGCAACTTAACTGCATCATCCTGTGATGCTTGTCAGATGTAGGCCTACTGTAGGGCTCTGTTATGCCACATCAATCACAAGCAGAACCATGCGAAACCACAATCCTGCTACATAGAAACATTTGAATGACTGAAGAGACATGAAATGAAATTATTTTTGAGTGTTGGAAAATAGGTAGGCTACTTGGGTAGGCCTACCTTTATGTTCCCTTTTAAGGGTTAATGTATTGAATAAATAATTAAACAAATTTAATAATATGGATATTTCCAAATATGTAAATCATATTAGTTTTGTTTTATCACAATTTAATAAACATTGGGGTTATGTATATTACTTTATATAAATACTTTCTTGACAACACATACATTCGTTTAAAAATTTATATGATGCATAACAGGAATGACCATTGAGGTGTATTTGTTCTTTAAATTAACCACAGTCAAGTTTTAACCAGACATAATATGTAATTATTCCTACACCAGTTGGAATGAAAGGGAACGGCAAAACAGATTGCAATAGATTATGGATTATAAAAGCATCAGACGGAGCTAGAGGTCTCAGCTAGAGGACTCAGCTCCTGTACATCTCTGCGTTGTTGTCTCTGTGTCCAACGTTTACTGAACGTTTGCAGGAGTCCACGCTGGCTGGGCTCTGTAACCAATGCACATGACATGATGTAGGATTAAAAAAACAGACACACACACACACACATTTATTTAACATCGACTACCTCTCTGAAGTTCAGTTGGGGAAGGTACAGGCAGGCATTTCCCAGGGTCCTCGGTAATTACACCCAGGTTTCTGTTCCATTGGTTCCAGTTGACTTCCTCCACACTGAAAGAAAGAAGACACATGCTTCAATTATTGCTCATTGGTTTCACTCTATGTGTTTGAAAGTAAATGTATTTACTTTGGGCATACATAAAATGTATTGCCCATTTTCAGATGGGAGACAAATGCAAACTTCAGATCTTGTGGTTTCGGGTGGAAGTCACCATGGGTCACCTGAAGCACCAGCGTCGATCAGGCTCCTGCCCCCCACCTAGGTCCTTCTCTTGCCCAGAACGCAGCTTTATCTTCAGACATTGGGGAAGAATCCACTCCGTGTCCAAGGTGGTGATTGCACGCTGTGAATAACAATCATATTTATTGCCTGATTGAACAACTAAAATTGCAAACCATTACATATGTTACGCAAACAGTTGCCCATTGTATCATTTCAAGTGATTACAGTGTAAGTTCAGACACAAGACAGCTTTAACTTTGCCTTTGATTTCACCTGTAGTTTCCAGATGCTGGTGCTCTCTACAGACATCTCCTCCACTCTTTGATTCATCAGAGCGATCAGCATGTTCAGCATCAAAATGTAAGTCATCACTATATACAGAATTAGCAGCACATAGAAGACCTCTGTATATTGATATTGATCGGTGAACTCCAGATCTCCCATGCCAATCGTAAACTTGAACAACTCCAGAGTGGTGAAGTAGATGCTCTTGAATGTGTTGTTCTTACAATGTTCATCAGAACTGTCCTGCTTAGCTTGTCCTTCAGAACGGTCATTACATTGTTTTTCAGAAATGTTTGTTCTTTGATCTTTGTTGATAGGCTCCTCATCAAGCAGAGTTACCACGGCTGTTGAGTAAGAAACAAATCATTAACACACACTATCACTCAAACATTTGGGGTCTGTACGATTTCTTAATGTTTTTGACAGAAGTCTCTTATGCTCACCAAGGCTGCATTTATTTGGTCAAATCAGTAAAACAGTAATATTGTGTTTCTATGTTAACATATTTTAAAATGTAATGTATTCCTGTGATGACAAAGCTGAATTTTCAGCATCATTACTCCAGTCTTCAGTGTCACATGATCCTTCAGAAATATTCTAAATAATATAGGCTACTGATTTATTACATTTATTATTATGATCAATGTTGAAAACAGTTGTGCTACTTAATATTTTTGTGGAAGCCGTGATATTTTTTCAGGATTCTTTGAAAAATAGAAAGTTCAAAAGAACAGCATTTATTTGAAATATAATGTTTTGTAACTATGTAAGAGTCTTTACTATCAATTTTAATCAACTGAATGCATACTTGCTGAATACAAGTATTACTTTCTTTCAAAAAATCTAAAAATCTACTGACCCCATACTTTTGAACAGTAGTGTAATTGGGAAGTGTTTGTTGTGTTGTGATAAATATGAAATGAATTGTAATAAAAGAGTCAAGGACATTTATGAATGCATGCAAGGGTACCTGTAGAGAACCCAATGAGGAAGACCATGTACACGACAAGGAATCGACGAATTTCTCCAAGAACCATCTGACAACAATTAAAGAGTGTGAGAGTGTGTCGTACAAACATGAAGTAAAAAAGCCTGAACTGTGAAGACTAGTCTACACTACAATGAGGCATTAAATGTGTTGCATAGCATCTTTCCACAGTGCTACACAAACCACACTTTACTAACACTCTAGGATGATGGATAAGAAAAACAATTATCCCTCACCTTTTGTATCATGACACTGTAGATTCCCATATTTTTGGACCCTCTGGAGAAGTAGAGTAGATTTACCCAGCTCAAGGCAAGACACAAAACTAGCCAGGCCACATATTGGTCCTGACCCAAGCAGTACAGTAGAGCACACACCAGGAAAAGCACGGCCTGCAGAAAACTAATGCAACAAAATGCAAGAATAAACAATGTATGCATTTAATGACTACTGTTTCTGTAGGACAAATGAGTCTGAGTAATGCAATTACTGTGCGTTGTGCATATACAGTGATTTCAAAAACTTAAAGGGTTAGTTCACCCAAAAATGAAAATTAGCTTGTGTTTTACTCACCCTCAAGCCATCCTAGGTGTATATGACTTTCTTCTTTCAGACGGAGTTATATTAAAAATTGTCCTGGCTATTCCAAGCTGTATCATTGCAGTCAGCGGGTGTTGCAGTTGAACAGTCCACAAGTCGTCAAATAAAGCACGCGCATCCATAATAAAACGTGCCTCACATGGCTCCGGGAGGTGAATAAAGGCCTCCTGTAGCGAATCCATGTGCTTTTGTAAGAAAAATACCCATATTTCAAACGTAATAATAAACACTTCTCTCTCACTTCCGGCTTCTGTCATACGTGGAAGCCGTTCCGGCGGATGACGTAGCACGTCGGCGTTGCGTGATTAGTGACGAACGCGGGGAGAGAACAAAACAAAACGCCGGT